GCTCCTAGTAGCGATGCCCTTTGTTCCTAGTAGCTTCTTGTTACTAGGTAGTAAGGCCAGGAGCTACTAGTATTGTCCTGGCTCCTAGTAGCGATGCCCTTTGTTCCTAGTAGCTTCTTGTTACTCGTAGTAAGGCCAGGAGCTACTAGTAGCGTCCTTGCTCCTAGTAGCGATGCCCTATGTTCCTGGTAGCTTCTTGTACTAGTAGTAAGGCCAGGAGCTACTAGTAGCGTCCTTGCTCCTAGTATGCCCTTTGTTCCTAGTAGCGTTCTTGTGACTAGTAGTAAGGCCAGGAGCTACTAGTTGCGTCCTTGCTCCTAGCAGCGATGCCCTTTGTTCCTAGTGGCTTCTTGTTACTAGTAGTAAGGCCAGGAGCTACTGGTATTGTCCTTGCTCCTAGTAGCGATGCCCTTTGTTGCTAGTAGCTTCTTGTTACTAGAAGTAAGGCCAGGAGCTACCAGTATTGTCCTTGCTCCTAGTGGCGATGCCGTTTGTTCCTAGTAGCTTCTTGCTACTAGTAGTAAGGCCAGGAGCTACTGGTAGCGTCCTTGCTCCTAGTAGCGATGCCCATTGTTCCTAGTAGCTTTTTGTTACTAGTAGTAAGGCCAGGAGCTACTAGTAGCGTCCTTGCTCCTAGTAGCGATGCCCTTTGTTCCTAGTAGCGTTCTTGTGACTAGTAGCAAGGCCAGGAGCTACTAGTAGCGTCCTTGCTCCTAGCAGGATGCTCTTTGTTCCTAGTAGCGTTCTTGTTACCAGGCAGGAAGGCCAGGAGCTACTGGTAGCGTCCTTGCTCCTAGTAGCGATGCCCTTTGTTCCTAGTAGCTTCTTGTTACTAGTAGTAAGGCCAGGAGCTACTAGTAGCGTCCTTGCTCCTATTAGCGATGCCCTTTGTTCCTAGTAGCTTCTTGTTACTAGAAGTATGGCCAGGAGGTACTAGTAGCGTCCGTGCTGCTAGTGGCGATGCCGTTTGTTCCCAGTAGCTTCTTGCTACTAGTAGTAAAGCCAGGAGCTACTGGTAGCGTCCTTGCTCCTAGTAGCGATGCCCTTTGTTCCTAGTAGCTTCTTGTTACTAGTAGTAAGGCCAGCAGCTACTAGTAGCGTCCTTGCTCCTAGTAGCGATGCCCTTTGTTCCTAGTAGCTTCTTGTTACTAGTAGTAAGGCCAGGAGCTACTAGTAGCGTCCTTGCTCCTAGTAGAGGTGCTTTTTGTTCCTAGTAGCGTTCCAGGAGCTACTAGTAGCGTCCTTGCTTCTCGATGCCCTTTGTTCCTAGTAGCTTTTTGTTACCAGTAGTTGCTCGTCGTAGTAGCGATGCCCTTTGTTTCTAGTAGCGTTCTTGTTCCTATTACTTTGATTTTGCAAAACCCGAGGACGCTGGAGTTGATGCCTTGCGTGTTGGCATGGGTATCAGCTCAGTTTCCACGGCTCACAAGGATCGTGGATGCGGCCGAGCGCAGGCCAGTGCAGTGTACAACGTAGTTGCTCGGCAGACTGAAGCCGGGTCTGAGAGTACAAAGTCAGATTTTGCAACATTTTGCAACATATTTAACTTGTGGTTAGCTTGTGAGATTGGAAGGCCTTAAGATTCCACAGGTGCTGGACGTACTATGTGTTTTTCTCAAACTTTATTTAGCACCGCTTTTGATCATCATTTTTGGCAGTAGCCATAGGCCTCGAATAAATTCACCAGGGATTAGGCTGCAACATCTCCTGACCAAAAAAATGTTGTGCTCAGGCAAAGATAGCCCGTGTTTATGGCGTTCCAGTCATTGCTGATGGCGGAATCAGCAGCCCGGGGCACATTGTGAAGGCATTGTGCTTGGGAAGCTCAGCAGAATTTGCACGAGTGCAAGCTTGGTGGTTCGAGCACGCCTCGAAAGTCGCATGCATCAGTTTTCTCCTTGTCTGGTTGTGTTTTCACATTCTTCAGGCCAAATTTTTTGAACTTGACGCTTTCCTGGTGCGCGGAATATCCAGAATCCAAATTTCCAAAGTTCATGGTAGGAGCAACAAGGTTTTTTCCAACTTGGGCACATTGTAGCCTTTGGTCACACATTCTTCCAGCTCGGAAGTGACTCAGGTGCTGAGGCTGTTATGTGTGGCAGCTTGCTAGCTGGGACAGAGGAATCACCGGGAGAGTACTTTTATGCTGATTCTGGCACTCGCTTGAAGGCCGCTTTGGGCCCGCCATTCCGCCATCCCACACGGTCTCAACAAACGCGAGTCGAGTCACAAGTATGAATCATATGTACCACGGTGACCGTTTTTGACTTTGTCAACATAAGCACCGCAGGAACAATTCTTGATCGTTCTTCACATACGTTGTTGGCAGAACACATTTACAAGACAGCATCTAGGTTGCAGGCAATCTAGCTACTCGTACAGGTACCCTTGTGGACGCAGCTGATTTCTGAACAAACATCTAGCATGGGAGGAGGGGGGAAACTAGCTCAAAGCGCTGGTTGATGATGTTGAACACGCTATGTGTGAATGATAATGATGCTGAACATGTTGGGTGACATCGCGAACATCACAAAGATAGGAGTTTGCAGCATGAGGGAGGGTTTTTGGAGGATGGTTGGTTTGCAATGGCAAAGGGGAGGTGCAGGTGTGCTGACTTTTCAGATGCCCATGACAGAAGAGCCCTCCCTTAATAGGTGGATACTGTCAATCATCGATACCAACAAATTCAAAGCAACTCTTACTTTTGCTTTCAATCTTTCACTCTTTTCTCAAAGCGATATATATATATATATATATAATCCCCGTGTAAATTTCCTCTACGAAATGGGGTGTCTCAAGATCTGCACAGAATGAGGTACCCAAGATTACTTTTTGCCTAACCAGGAATGCTGGAATAGAGAAATGGAAGAGTGCACCCCTGAATTTAGTAGAGAAAAGCAAGACGTTTGGATCGAGAAAACAAGAGAGTACACCCCTCAATTCTGTAGAGAAATATGTCCTTACAAAATTGTTTTTAGTCACCTGGAAGAAACACACAAGAAATGAACTCATGAATTTTGTAGAGAATAGGGATTTTTCTACAATGGGCAGCCATTTTGGTTAAGCAGTGGCCAAGCAGCCATTTTGGCTGACCATGGAACCTCCAACAGGGTTCCCTCGCTACTGCGGCTTGGGACGCTGCATTGAATCTGTCCCAAAGCCAGAATGGTGCGCAATGCGTGGCTGCTGGCGCGACTTGTCAGCAGATTGGAGCTATAGGGGTTCTTACTTCTCAATGGCTGCTTTCCTGATTGCTATTTGGGGTCTATCCTGGTTGTCCAACCGCTTTTGCAATTTGTAGCGTGTTTGTTTTCTACTTTGTGCATTTTGTTGACTTCTACTTTGTGCATTTTGTTGACTTCTGAGTTTCGCGATGCGATCTTGTGAGTGGAGCTGGGCGCAAGTCACATCACCATTGTTATTGGGACCAGAGCCTTGTCATAAAGATGCCTAAAGCAAGAGAAGAAGGCAGGCAATAGGGATCACAGAGTCCAGCCTCTTTCAGGACTCTGGGCAAATGGTCATGGACCCTTGCAATCAGCAAGGTACGGCCGACATTGGAGTCTTGGTTGCTCTGATGTTTGGTGTCTCTGGTGTTATGTTCTTTCTCACACTTGAATAAACTTAATGCATTTGGATATATTTGGATGCATTTGGTAGAACCTTGGCTCATTGGTGTATTGGTGTGAGAAGCCTGGTTCAGCATGTCCCCATGGTTGCTGGTGTTGGCGGCTTTGCAGCTGTGCTCCTGTGGCAAGCTGCCATCAATCCGTGATGATACCACGTGCACCACGCCAGAAGACATGTTCTTCGCTTGCAGTTCATATGTTAGCTGACCAAGACTTGACAGAATGAACATGTTCATTCATGTCCCAGGTATTTCAATAACATGTTTCTTCACTCAGGTGGTTCAAAGCAGAGGACCACATGCAGGACTTGACGCAGTGGGCCTGGATGCTGCACCGCAAGAGCGGGAAGGTCTTTGATGCGCTCGATATTTTTGGCGCTTCGGAGCAAGTGACCAAAGTCTGGAAGAGCCACGGGTTCTCTTCCATTTCATATGATTTGAAATTGGATGAGATGCATGACCTATGCTCTGAGAATGGCTTCTTCTGCCTTTTAAGGCTAGGAATGCAGCAACTTGACGCAGCTGGATTTTGTAGAAACATTTTTCTCTACAAAATTCATTGTTCTTTCTTTGGCTCATTCCAAGTGTCTTGACTCTCTCTACTGAAATCAGGGGGTCGTCCTTTCATTTGTATTCTTTTGTCTATTTCAGCATTCCTGGTTAAGCCAAGAGTATCCCAGATAAATCTTGCTTGTCCTAAAACAATGCCAATGCTTCTTTGTGCAATTGCAACGACAATCAAGTGAAATCGGTGACTCCAACTAAGGGTCAAAGATGACGGGATCTTGATTGCTGCGCCGCCGTGTTCAATGTATGGCCCAGCGTGCAGCTCCGTGCACAAACGTATACACAACGTGGGTGGTGATCATTCCCGCTTCAAGGTCAGATTGGCAGCGCGAATTTGGTCAAACTTTGCTTCTGGGCGGCACAGGGACCGGGATTTCAACAAACCCTGCTGCATCAATAATTTGTATTCCAGCATTCTTGGTTAGGCAACTAGTAGTCTTGGGTGCCTCATTCTGTGCAGATCTTGAGACGCCCCATTTAGTAGAGGAAATCTAGACAGGGATCCCTCTAATGTGAATTTTGTTGACCTCATGGAGGGCCCCTGTGAAAATACACCATGAATGCTGGGCCCACCTCGATCCAATCCAAGATCTCCTTTATGCTGCTCATGAACGAGATCCGCCCGGGCCTGCTTACACTGATTGAGCAACCTTCTGGAAGCTGGGCCTTCAAGCAGCCTGAATTCATCAGGCTCATTGGGGCAATGGGTTTGATTCTTGGCTTTGCTAAGATTGTCAGGGAAATATTGTCTAAAGCGTTGAGGAAAGATCTTTCAGGCAATGATTACAGAACTGTACAGAACTATGTAATGGATTGTAATGGATTGTTATGGTGATGTAGCTCGCGCCCAGGTCACTCACTCTCACCTGGATGGCATTCTTCTCCCACGACCTTCTGAAGGCAACACACCTTCAATCGAACTTCAAGACGCTTGAATGCAATTCAGGCAAGATGACATGAAATACATAAATGTAACAAGATGAGTGGGGACAAGCTCTCTAGGCTAGCAATATGTTTGAGAGATTTTACCTTAGGGAAGCAGAGACTACTTTGGCACGGAAGATGAAGAAGGAAGACAAGTCTAGATTCAAGGCTGCTTGCCATGAGTCCAGGATTTTGCATGCTGCTGCTTCCTTTTGTAGAGCATTCCTGCCACTTCATTTTGTAGCAAGTTGCTGTGAGTCTGAATTTTGTTGACCGCTTGCCTTGTTCCTTGTGCTATCGCAGAAACGCTTTTCGCGAAGACAAGCCAAGAGGTCGACAAAGAAGGAGACTTGGCTCCATTTTGCCTGTAAGTGATGAAGCCAGCTGCGTCCATTTGTAAGTGATGAAGCCAGCTGCGTCCTGTGATTACGCGCCTCAGGATTACTACCATCGTACAGTGAGTTCAGCTGGCAAATCAGGCTGGCAAGGGGGGAAGCATCTTGCCAGCTCGGCAGCTTTCACAACCGCTTTTTGTCAGGCAGTTTTGAGTGCTTGGCTGAAAGCCAGGGAACGGATGCAGCTAGTTGATCAATAGATCACTCAATGCGTGCCAGATGTGGGCTCCAAGCTGCCAAATCTGTCTTGTTTCATGTTGTATGGGTTGCAGTAAAGCCACACGTGTACCAGGCTGTTCTAGCTGGTGATGAGAACCGTGAACCGTCCGCTTTCACTTGGGAAAAATGGAATGTTGAATGGAGCAGAGTGCGAGCAACGTTGCAATGCCAAACGCGTACTCATGAAGTCACGAAATACTTTGAAATGCTGTGCTGCCTCAGGAAAGCCCTGTCCTCCACCCACCCGAATCGGCCAGTGCGGAGCCATCAAGTGAATGTGTAACTGCACCTGTGGCCCCGGTTGCATCGCCTGTGCGGAGCAGGGCTCCGATCACATCTGAAGGACAGTTTTTTCCCAGAGAATGGCCATGGGTATCTTTTGAAGAAGTTGCAGGAGACGATGCTGCTTTGTGGCAAGAATTGGAAGACATGGGGCCACCGCCAGCATTTTCATTGCCAGAAGGAGAGATTCTGAAGCGTTTTTAGGGAAACGGGTGAGGTGTAGGAGAATGATAGTGGAACACACTTTTTATCAGGACAGTCACAGCCACCACCTGCCGACCCGCCAGGAGATTTGCCTAAAACAGCATACACAGTGTATAAATACATTGTGATTCATATGTGTATATATTTATATGCATATGTTTGCTAAGCTTCTAGTGGAGCACCAATCCAGGAGCAGATGTGGTAGCTGCAGATGCCATTGTCATGGGGGCTTCTATGCCCTTGAACGACCAAGGACACGGGTTTGGAGTGAATGTGATTTTTGTTGCTTCATGTTTTGCATTTTGTAGTTTTTTGATGTTGGAGCGTCGTCCCAGGAGCGGAAGTCACTGGTGTGGAGACTGCAGT